TTAGTGTACACATGTGTATAAATTTATTATTTAGGATGTTTTAAATTATTATAATTTTTTATAAAAGTGATTATAAAATGGTTGTGCAGATCAAGGGCAGAACCCATTTGAGGTTTAGTGTACACTTCGGGTCCGGGTCAACCCGACCCGACCCGAATGACCCGTTTTCAATAAAAAAAATTGTTAATTTTCGGGTCAAAAACAGGTCAATCTCCTCTTTTCGGGTCAATCTCCGGTTGCTGGGTCAAAATCGGGTTTTCGGGTCAAAATCGGATCACTTTCGGGTCAAAGGGTTAACTCGAACCCTACCCGATTTTTGAAAGGGTCGAATGTTGAACCCGAACCCGACCCGTTTCGGGTTCGGGTTGACCCTAATCCGAAATTTTTGGGTCGGATTCGAGTCGGAGTTTCGGATCGTGTCAAATATTGACACCCCTATTTACAGGACTGCAATTTACAGTATATTGCTTGGAATTCGGTAGCTTCACAATTCACAATAATTTTATTTGTGAGATCTCTCTCTATCTCTCAGTGAATTAATAAATCATTCTAAAAATTAAGAAATGGCAGATCTAAGGTGCGACAGCCAGCAAAGGAGAAGACTCTCACTCTTTGTGATATTTGTGTTAGAAGACAAAATTATTATTGTTGAAGAAATAAAGATTACTAATTCTAGTTTTTTAATTAAAGCTCTTTACATTTTTTGTTCATAGGAAGTATAAAAGCAATACAAATATATTAGTGTTGTGAACTAAGCTTGGAGAATTGCAATCTTTTGTTCAAGTAAGTTTTTATTTTTTAACCATCACATTTGAATATGATGAAATTAAATATTTTAGTATTAAATTTAATAAATAGTTTATATTTGTATCATATATGGATAGATATTTTAAAAGAAAAAGTGAAGCAGATATACATGGCAATATTTTCAGTGATAATATTGCACAATTCAAATAAGCTTGTTTAGAACTCGATTTTGATGAAATCCCTTTAATTAGATTTCAGATTAACAAAAAAATATTGATTTTCATCCCAAGTGAGAAGATTCTATTTGCAAAAAAGATCCATGTCAACTTCGAGATCATGATTTTTCACGGACACAAATTGAAAATAAATTACTAAGATTTATTCTTGCATGGTTTAATGAACACAAGTGTTGGTTAGAGTATAGGATTACAAAAGATACAGTTTATTATTTGTATTGTCATATTTATAGACCTAAGATTGGAGAGCAAACTAGCGATGATAGCTTTGACATAACAGGATTTAATAATTGGACAAATAAGGATAGATTTCTAGTTCATATTGGTCAAGCTAACAACACTTATATTATTACTTAACATAAATATGAAGATTTAATGAATCAAGACATTGATATTAGATTTTTTTTTTTTGAAAGACATACTAATCAAAGTCGCTTGGAACATCAAACACGTTTAACTGCCAGTATAAATTGTATATGTTTTCTTTTACATCAAGGTGTATTTTTTCACGTTCATGAAGATTCTAAAATTTTTGAGAACCAAAAAAAATTTCTTGAGCTTCCACGATTTCTTGCATTCCATAATGATGATATAAGAAAAGTTCTTCTAGATAATGCCCCACGAAATATTAAACTGATTGTTATGAAAATTCAAAGATAAACCACAAATGCCATTGCTATCGAAACATCAAATATCATAATTGATGAACTAGGAAATGAGTTATTTGCAATTTTATTGGATGAATCACGGGATATATCAATCAAAGAACAAGTTGTAGTTTCATTATGATATATAGATAAAAATGTTATGTTATTGAACATTTTATTTAGATTGTGCATGTGGATGAGACATTTGCTTCAACTCTAAAAAAAGGCCAATGAATCACTTTTTGAAAAAATATGGATTGAATATAGCTCGTTTGCATGGACATGGTTATGATAGAGCTAGCAACATTTGTGATGAGTTTAACGGGATAAAAGATTTGATCATGAAAATAAATTGCTTAGCTTTTTACTTACATTATTTTGCACATCAACTACTACTAGCTAGCACTAGTTGTGGCAAAAAAATCATGTCCAAGTTCCTTCACTTTTCAATACAATTTCTAATTTGATAAATATTATTAGAAGTTCATGCAAGATAAGAGAAATACTACAAAGAAAACAGTACAACATGATCATTAAACTAATACTAAATGACGAAGCATCAAGAGGTAGAGGCTCAAATCAAGAAGTAGTTGTTCAATGTGCTAGATAGACACATTAGGGTTCGTATTATGGATTTCTAATCACTTTTATTTCTTATGTTTGGTCTATCATTAAGCTTCTTGAGATGATAATACAATATGGTTCAAGAAATTAGCAAAAAGGTGAAGCATATGCCCTTCTTGATTCTATACAATGCTTTGAATTTATTTTTCAAATTTTATATAATGGAGGCTTTATAACTTGTGAGTTATCACAGGTGTTGTAAAGAGACATCATAAATGCTATGAGTTTGATAAAAGTATATAAAAAAAGACTTCAGAGTACGAGAGATGATAGTTGGGACTTATTGCTTAAAGATGTTTAGTTTTTTTTTTTTTCGAGGCAAATAATATATTTGTTCTAGATATGAATGATGCTTTGTAATGCGAGGAAGATCAAGTAGAAAAGATGAAGTAATCATAAATAGACATCATTATCAGATTAACTTATTTTATACTATGTTAGACATATAACTTCAAGAGTTCAATAATGAATTTAATAAAATAAATATAGTGCTATTGATGTGCGTGTTATACTTGAATTCATATGATTCATTTTCAGCTTTTAGTAAGTGTTGATTGATAAGCCTGACAAAGTTTTATCTATCAAAACTTTAAATAAAAATATCATCATATTTGACTACCAACTTGATAATTTTATTATTGATATGTGATATAGCGATACATTTATGAATTTAAAATGAATTGAAGAACTTGCTCAAAAATTTTTGGAGACTGCCAATTCCTACAATAATAATCAAGCGGGCATTCTAAGCTATGAAGATTGTAAACAATCATTTACATAATCATAGGTAAGACTTCTAGATGAATGATTGTCTAATTACATGTATTGAACAATATATATTTAACAGTATTGATAATGAAAAGATTGTATAATCATTTTAATATATAATGACTCAAAGAGAGAAATTATAGGTAACATTTATATAGCATCAAAAACATTATCTTGATCGAGCATGAATCTCGAGGCAAAGTTAAATCGAAAAACTTTTAAAATTTATTTTTGGACTATCAGAACTTTGATTTCAACAAACTTATAGCTGAACTGGAAATCTCGAAAAGAAGAACTCAATGACACCAAATTTGGCCCAATCTGAGTCCAAATCGAGGGCCCAAAGCACATTTGGAAGCTTCAAAACATAAATTGAATGACTAAATGATATCAAAATATTGCATGTTTATAGTCGAATCAAGCGACTCGACGAGAAAAATCTAATGAGCCCAAGATCATAAAATTATGACATCATTAAGGCATTCAAATTCTCAATAAATTTTCCATGATCAAGGGAGTTGATATCGATTGTTCATCCAAACCACTCCCAACCTGCTCATGCTGGTCTTTTGCTCTGCCACTGGTTAATGCTGGAATTCCTTTAACTGATGTAGGAATTCCGCTTTGTCATCAACTTATGATGAACTTCTGCATGACCGCCAACTAACGCTCGACTTCCTCCTTACAACAGACTGACGCTGGACTTCTGTTTGGCCATCGATCGTTGTCAGACTTTTGCTTGATGGCCGTCAGACTTTTGTTCAACCGTTGTCGGACTTCTGCCCAATCATCATATTGAAAACTCCTGAATATCCATACAAAATCCATTGTAATTTAACCTTCCTTAAATCTAAGTACGGGTCGAGTGGTCGACCTTTGTAACTTAATTCGACAATAGTGGAATCATTTCGACTAGACATGGCCCAATGATTTTGTTTTTCATTTTTCATGGTTTTCCACATAAAAATCCTGATGTGTTTAATTTCTTTGTTTGTTTGCTGGATATCCGTACAACACTAAGACGAAAAACCCCTCACTCTATTGTTGTGTATATTGTATCCCACAACAATCATGTATCGAAAATATGATGAGCAAATACCTCTGATGTAAGTTTTTTCCCTATATAATTTATTTATTTCTAATAATGTATTAAAAAAAAGTTGTGAAAGCCAGTCCCAAGCCCATATGAAAAATGTTGCTGGTTTTTTAAGAACAATGATTTGCGCCCTCACAAAAAAAAAAAAAAATCTTGGCTCTGCCATTGATCCCAAACGAAACTTTAATTAGTTTAAAATTTCCCTAAAAAGATTATTTAAATTTAAAGCCAATCTTAAAAGATGTAAACGGGTCCAATAAGAATGAGTTCATGCTTAATTTAGTTCATTAAGTCGTGGGTTAAATAATAATAAGTTTAAGAACCTATTTGAGTTTTGAGATAACTTTTTATTTTTTTATTATTTAGATTCTTTCATAAATTAATTTGACTATTATTTTGTAATAATTTGTAAAAAATTAATGGTATTTATAATATCTACAGTTGCCTTCAAAAAAAAATTTTTTGGTGACAAATAGCTTTATGATTGCATTTATAAAAATTCTTATTAGCCTAAAAAAAATTGTAACTCTCATTTTAAAAATTAAAATTAAGACTTTTGATTTAGAAAAAAAAAGGGCGGTTTTTTTACTCAAATTTGATTAGTCTCAGTTTAAAAATAATATATGATATATTTATTATATTTAAATTATATAAAATTATATAATTTTAATTACAAATAAATCAAATACTAAAAAGAATAATACTTGCTATAAATTTATGACAAAATAATTTAATATTAAAATATTTATATCTGATCATCAGAATAACTTTAGTAAATTAGTAAAATTAATCTGATAATAATTGAATTAAAATATTATGACTCGTTTTTTTTTTATTCTGTCTCCTTTGAGGCCCCAAGCAAACAAACCACATGTGAGCGGGGGCCGCGCCGGTGCCCCGCGGCCCCCGCCCCGACCTACATAAAAACCTACAGGCCTAAGGGCCTATCACCCTTACCGGTCGTAAAAGGACCCGCACGTGTAGAATCCCCCAATAAGAACCCCTCCTCCTTCCTTGCACTCAGCGAAAGGTGAACACTGAAAGAACTCGATGAGAGGGGAGGTGAGAGCAAGGCGATTACGCGATACGCCGGCGCCGCCATTGGATCTCGTCGGCGTTCAAATCCCATACCATTTCCGATGCCCCATCTCTCTTGAGCTGATGCGGGATCCGGTAACGGTAAGCACCGGCCAGACCTACGACCGCCCAAGCATTGAGTCGTGGTTTGCGATGGGGAACACCACATGCCCCGTCACCCGCTGCCCTCTCCCCGACTTCACCGTCATCCCTAACCACACCCTTCGCCGCCTAATCCAAGAATGGTGCGTCGCCCACCGCTCCGACGGGGTGGAACGAATTCCCACCCCGAAACAACCTGCCGATCCCACCCTCGTCCGCCTCCTCCTCGCCCAAGCTTCAGCTGGCGACGCCTCCCTCTCATCCCGCATCGCTGCCCTCCGAAGACTTCGTGCTCTCGCCTGCGAGTCGGAGAAGAATCGCGCTGTGGTCTCCACTTACACGCGCTCTGCAATTGCCGAGATGGCGTTCGGCGCGGATCTAGATTTGGCGGTTGGAGCCATGGAGGCGTTAGCTGCGGTGGGGGTTACGGAAAGGGAGAGCGCGATGGTGGCGGCGAGGCCGGAGAGGGTGGCTATGTTAGCAGGGATGATTAGATTGGAGAGCTCTGCCGAAGCGCGAATTGGCGCAGCGGCATTGGTGGAAGGGATGCGGACGGCGGAGGCGCGGGAGGCGGTTGGCGCGGCTGACGGGGTAATTGAAGGGCTAGTTGCTCTGGTGGAGAATGGGGATTCGCGGGCGGTGAGAGCCGGAATGCGGGGATTGTTCTCTCTCTGCTTGGCGAAGGAGAACAGGGGAAGGGCGGTGATGGCGGGGGCGGCGGAAGCGGTGGTTAGGAGGATTGGGGAAATGTACTGCGTAGAGAGAGGGGATTTGGAGCGGGCGCTTGCGACGGTGGAGTTGTTGTGCAGAGTGGAAGGAGGGAGGGAAGCAGTGGTGGGAGTGGAGGGAGCGGTGGCGGATTTGGTGAGGGCAATGACGGGGAAGGCGACCGAGAGGGCAGCTGAACATGCAGCGGGTGCGTTGGTGGCAGTTGTTGGAGGATCGGAGGCGTTGCAGGAGGAGGCGGTGGCCGCCGGAGTTGTGACGCAGCTGCTGTTAATGGTGCAGAGCGGGTGTTCCGATAGGGCGAGGCGGAAGGCACAGATGCTGCTTAAGATACTCAGGCCGGCATGGCCGATGCAGGATTTGTTTGCAAATTCCGATGATTTTCTCCATCCTTTCTGATCATCGGGTTGTATCATCTACAGTTCGGATGATAATTTCAGCTTAACAATTTCTTTTGAGCTGTTAAGATTTAATCCAACAAATTCAAAACTGATTTTGAAAATGTTAGATTGAATTTCAGTAGTTCAAAATAAATTGCACATTTTGGATTGACTAATTGCACATTTGTAATCTTAATTATAGAGGATACAAAGTTGCAAACCCCTTTAATTACGCACCAAGCAAAAGAGCTAAGCTAGCTGGACATGATTTTATGTTCATTAAGCGTTTTTCGATCTATGATTATTGTATTGAAAGAGGATTTCAATTAATTTTCTTCGTTTATATTGTTTGTTGAAAATCTTGTAGATTTCAGATATGAACTGTTTTACACATCCATGAAGATCTTACGTCTTCAATATTATATAGAATTAGATAAACCAAATAGCAGATTAGATGTTGCATCTGTGTTATTGTGTGTTTGGTGAATTGATCTCTGTCTCCAAAACAATACTTATGTTTCGGTTGGGACAGCTTTTTTTTTGCTTTTTAAAATTAAAAAAAAAATTATACTAAACAACTGTTCTATAAAACAATGAGAAAGCTATCCCAAACAAAGTATTAGGTTTCGTTTGATACGGTTTTCTTACAACTTTTTAAAACAATTTTCTAGTACAAAATTTAAATTGTTATACTAGAAAGTTATTTTAAGAAGCCAGTCCCTAAGGAAGCCTTAGATTTCGTTTGGGACGGTTTTCTTATTGCTTCTTAAAACAACTTCCTAGTATAAAAATTTTAATTTTTGAAATAGGGAGTTGTTTTAGGAAGCATAAAAAAAGCCGTCCCAAACCAAACGTTTAGTATCTCCAAGTACAATGGACTGAGTTAGTACTGTAAAAAGGAAAAGTTGCTCTTTTGTTTTTAGGCTGCTCCACTTCCACCTGGTTTGGCGTTGAATGGAATGTTGAACTGAGAGAGAGAGAGAGAGAGAGACAGAGAGAGAGAGCGTGTGAGTCATAAGGCCAACGTTGCTAGCCTTTTGACCATCAACTACAACTGCAGGCTTTCTCCTCTGGATATACTCCAGAATTATTTTTAACAAGTATTAAAGGCTGTTTGGATAGCTTATTCTTTCAACTTTTTATTTATATTTATTAAAATAATTTCTTTTTTTACTTTTGAGATAATTAAAATAAGCTCGTATAAATATCATTTTAAGATTTTTTTTTTTGGAAACTCTAAAATTTTTAGGTTTTATTTGATTAAGTATTTTTATTATTTTTTGAACTAGTTTTTTAGTATAAAAATTTTTTAAATTGAAAATTTTGATATTAAAAAACAGTCTCAAATGTGATCTAAATTGATAGTCAAAATTCTTAACCGATAAGATGTTAAGATGAGCGAATTCAAATGTTAGCTCCAACAAACGAGTTCCAAGGGGCTATAATATGGTTGGGTTAATTTTTTTATGGAATAAATTGAATTATTATAAAATGCTTAAAAATAAATTTATTTTTTAAGCATTTTAAAATATTTATTTTTCAAAGAAAATAATTTCAGATTCTGCCCTCCATCATCATTTTATGTAATCTTTAAAATAAAATAAAATATATAAAAATAAAAAAATGATTCTAGCTGGCCTTAGTAATGGCATTCAACCCTAAATATTTCACGTATGTGAATGATGTTACCGAATACCGATGGAATTTTTTTTTCTTGTCGGTCCATAAAGGAAGGAAAACGTGGGATAGTGTAAATTTTCATGATTCGTGAAGTCAGACGGTCAAAAAATTCATAAAAGATCTGGATATATATATAACATGAAATGCGGGAGCCTTGCACTTGTGATTCCTTGTATGCCTTGTTTGGCTTGTGAGCTTTTCATTTGATATAAAATATAGCTGCTGGCTTTGCTGATTTGGTGATCATAAAAGTCTGTGTATCGTTAAGATTTAGGGGTGTAAACGAGTTGAGTTTAGTTCAAGTCATTTTTGGCTTGAGCTTGAGTTTTATTAATCAATCTAGTTTGAGCTCGACCTTGAGCTTTATTCTACGAGTTCGATATAGCTCACAAGCTGGCTTAGGAGCTTATAAAAAAGAATAATGATTATGATTCAGATAATTATTATAATGTAATTGTCGCGTCTTGCAATATTTGCGGTGGTAGATAAATATAAAGTTTAACGTTTTAGCTTTGTACGAAGATACAACACGCAAACTGATGAAAGAGAAAGGAGTAGCATTCATAAGAGATACCAGAGTTTTACATGTAAGAGAGGTGTTTCGGACTTCTCTTCCTATCCTCTTTTTTTTCCCTTTTTTCCTCCTTGCTCCCCCCCTCTTCATGTGAAGAATGAGAGGTTATTTATAGTTTTTTTGAGAATAACATGGTCAATAAATAGGGAGAAGGTCAAGGGCAAATTGAAAGTGGTTCCAATTGACAGCCGATATCAACTCTATTAATGATGGATCATTTATCGAGTATTTGAGTACTGTCTTAATGATTTTAGAATTTAGCAATCTTGGGCTCGTTGGATTCGTCTCGTTAAGCCACCACCCGGTTCAATTATAAGCATGCCACATTTGATGTCATTTGGCCATCCGATTTATATTTTGAACAATCAAAATATACTGCAGATCCTCAATTTGGACCAATTTGGGTTCGGATTGAGTTGAGTTTAGTGTCGTTGGGTTCGTCTTTTTGAGTCATTCAATTCTACTATAAGTTTGCTAAAATCAGAGTTTGGATAGTCCCAAAATTAATTTTGGAAGTTTCAAACTCAAATTTGCCTTGACATTCATGCCTGATCAAGAAATTTTTTTATGATATATCGACAATGATAAAACGAATAAGGAATTAAAAAAATAATAAAAAATCACTTAATATTAGACAATGAGATAAATTTTTTACAAGGTTGTACTTAAAATTTTGAATGCTAATATAATTTAAATATATTTTATCGCAATATTTTTTAAACAAGTTGGCTTGCGAGCTAACGATTTGATTCAGGTCTGGCAGTCTGGCTCAAGCTTTACTTGTTAGCTCATCGAGCTTGGCTCACGAGTCATTTATCGAGTCGAGTTTGAGCCGGCTCACCAATCGTCTTGACTCACTTGCATCTCTATTTATGTCTATTAGGCATCGTGTTAACATCGTTCTTAAATTAATTAGGTAAGTCATAAAGTTCTTGAAATTTCTTTCCAAGCAAAGGAATCTTCTTATTACTCTCCATTAATCGTTGCTGTGCTGTTTTCATCTTTGACGGTGACAGCGTAGTGATGGGTTAGTGGTGATTTGCATCATCCAAACACTACAAGCGAAAAGAAAAGAAATTTAGCTTTATAAAGTTTAATCAATATCAAAGAGACAGTCGACGACTAAAGAAAATGAATCTTTAGTTCTAGATAAGTGAATTGTTGGTCTTTATTTTATCATAATCTATCAAGGTAATCATTTGTTGATCACTATAGTAGATCTTGTAAACTGTAAATTATAATCATGGATTTCTTCCCATAAAATATTTGAGTGTTCAGATATATTTTTTTTTTCTTTTCAATTGAGTGTTAGAAAATGTATAATGAAAAAAAATACAGTTTACATCGATCTTAACTTAGGGTGTCAATATTTGATCCGACTTGACGTCCGGCTCTTACCAGACCCAAAAAATTCCAAGTCTTGATAATTCGCTTGGAAAATGGTATTGGTTCAATATTCTAGTCTTTTTTTAAAATCGGGTCGGACTCGGGTTGACCCGAAAATTCGAGTATGACCCGGATCCTACAACCCTAGCCCAACCTGCATTGTGTTACTCGCACGTCCCACCTTCCCGCTCACACAGCATCACGCCTGTGTCACACCTACATTTCATACCCATTTCTTGCCTCTCATCTCTGGCTTTAGGGCTGGTTGGGTCGACCAGGGTTTAGGGTGAGTTGGGTCGACTCGAGTTTAGGGCAGGTCGGATCTGGTTTTAGATTTATGACTCGTTTCTAAAATTGGTTCGGGTTAGGATCAGGTCAAATAATGAAATAATTGTGGGTTATTTTTAGAGTAGACCCAAAACAGACTCAAAAATCTATTTTGACACCCCTTTTACATAAATAAAAGACTAAAAGAGAGAAATGTATGCACATAAGGCACAAAATTTATATATGAATATCCAAAAAGTGAAAACAAAAGAGATCTATCTAAGAATGGCAATGTAAGAATTTAAATTGTATGGGACTATCTCTAGTAGCCATAGTTTTTAACCATCTATGATATGTTGTGTATGTCGAAAGGTGGGGGTGAATAATTTCAACATAAATTATTAATTAGCTTTAAGCAATAAATGAAAATGAGCATCATATTTGGTTAGTGGTAGTTATCAGATGATAAGTGATATGGGTGTCACACATCCGTGTTGATTGATGGCTGACCGGGGGTGTTGGAGTAACATGAATAATTGTCGCACATCTGTGTTGATTGATGGCTGATCGGGGGTGGTGGAGTAACATGAATAATTGTGAATATAATTTAGGTCTGTATCAATCCCAAACAATGCTTAGATTTTTTTTTTGATAAAAAAACTTATAAAAATTCCACTTAATATATGCAAGGATAGATACCGAATCAAGTAATAATGTAATATAATGGTAGAGTAGAATATTGATCCCACAAGAAAGAATATTTATTTGAAAATACTAGTACTGTTTACTACAATTACAAAAATTATTATACTCAATAAAAATAAGGGTTGGTGGAGATTCAATCACTTTTATAAAAATTAATATCAAAATAATCGATATATTTACATGAATAAAATATTTTGGATTAATGAAATGTAAATTAATATGTTTCCTAATTTTTTTTCTTTTTAATGTGATGTTATTTATAGCGTATGCTTCATCGATCGCTCGGTTAAGCGTAAAGAGAGAAAGGAAGGGCCCAACTCATTCCACTCCCAATATCAATCTAAACTCATATAGTTTGTCACTCTGTGAAAATTATAGAAGAGTAAATAAAGCATGCACTGTTAATTACTCCCTCATGATAATCCATCTCTATAAATTTGATAGGTAATAATCTCTATGCCTATGCTTGCATTATATCAATCCAACATACCTGGTTGTGCTTACTTTCCTAGTCCTAGGCTCTATGTTACACCTCAAATTAATTATACATATGGCTACTATGTGCATTAAATGAAGACTTGATATATTAAAAACATCATATCATCACTTTAAAGATTAAGAGAAATCATTAGTACTTCATGTTAAGCCATCGGACACGTGGCTTCATTTTACTGGTTTACATGTTACCGTTGCATTGTACTTTCTTTAAAATTGTATCTATTTAAACTCTGTAATTGT